CACACACACACACAAACACAAAATAGGGTAAAATATTAATAGGTGCAGATGAGTAAAGCTAGATGAGTTTCTTTGTTTTCTGGAAGCTTGAAATTATTTAAAAATTATTTAAAATTGTAGGGAAGCCTAAAATGTTTGGCACAGTACATGGAAGAGAACCAATTGTGACTCACAGTCAATTCTGAAGCATCACTGTAGGCCAGAAAGGAACTGCCCTTGTGGGTCCTAAGGCTGTGAAACCTTAAGGCTTACAGGAACAGCAAGCTTCATCTTTCTGCCAGGATGCCGCCAGGACAGTGGTACAGAACGACAATACCCATTGTGATTAGTATTTATGGAATTTGCAAAAATAAAATACAAAGAAACAAGCAAACTTGCGACCACCGAGTCGAGTCTGACTCACAGTGCCCCTCTAGCACAAGGTAGAACTGCCCATGTGAGTTTGAGACTATAACTCTCGACAGGGGTAGAGAGCCCCGTCTCGGAGTGACCAGTGGTTTTGAACTGCTGACCTTGAGGTTAGCAGCCCAACGTGTAATCCACTATACCACCAGGTCTCCAATAAAATTAAAATAGATAATTTTAATATATATAAAAGTATGTATAAAAGTACATAAAAGGCCAAGTACTACTATTAATTGATATAACAAAGTAGGACTACAAATTGGTATGGGCTCAGAAGCTTATGTCCAAAATGCTTATGTAAAATCACTGGTCCAGCAAAATTATTCTTTATTCCTAGCTTTCTCCTGATTTTTTGGTTTAATTTTAAAGCTCACGAGTTTTTAAAAGCTTAAAAGTTTGAGTATCAGATGAATGAAGCGTCATAGTGACACTGTATACTGCATTTATAATTCTCACTTAAAACTAGACAACCATGCAAATGTCCGTTGACAAGAGAACAGATAGATAAATCACACGACACACATGGAAGAGAACACGATACAGCCGTGTTAACATGCTAAATGAATGAGGTAGAGCTATCGACACGAACACAAACATCTCAGGAGAATGGTTAAGTGGAAAGAAGCAGGTAATAGAAGGATACAATCAGCAAGATAGTTTTTATACCATTAAAAATAAAACCAAGCAATAGATTTTTGGCGATAGCTACACGTGGGAGGCGATCTACACCCGTGAAGATGGACACTTGAAAACCCTACATCGTCTCACTGTTGGTTGCAGTTGACTCCATAAAAGTGGGTCTGCTTACATTCCTGTACCTGGTCTACCCACATATAAAAGCAAAGGAGTGTCTTTTTGAAAAGGAGAGTATTTGTTACCGCTAGGTACAGGGGACGGCACAAAGGGATCTTCACCACAATTGGTGATGTTTTATTTCTGAAGTAGAATAGTGGGTTGCTGATTGTTACGCTTTGTAACATTACACATGGATTGAGTGTTTTCTTTGCATGAGTCAAATCATTACTTTTGAATTACTTCTTTAAAAAAAATCAGGCACTAGGAAAACATAACCACGCCATTCGCAAAATAGTGTTCTTTGGGAGGTAGGCTTATAGAGAACTTTATACCACTTATGATATTATATGTTTTGGATTATTTATTCCAGTCTAATATATTTACTAATGTGTTTGTTTTGAGAGGGAGGGGGAAATATTAAAGAAAGGAAACAGAATCCTCTTGTAATCTGACTTGCCTTTGATCAAAACTAATTACTTTCATAGTGATTCAAAAACAAAACTCTCACTGCCACGGAGTATTCCAATAAAAGGCCTGCCCTCGGGTGTTTCTGAGGCTGTAACTCTTAATGGGAGTAGAAAGCCTCATCTTTCTCCCACGGAGTGGCTGGTGATTTCGAAGGGCTTACCTTGCAGCCCAGTGCAAAACCCACTAGGCCACCAGGGCTCCTGACACCGAAAACTTATTTCTGGTCCTTTCACAGATGAACATAGAATTCAAATGTGACAACAGATACACGTGCCATTAAAAAGTATGAAGCAAAACCCAGTTGAGCTAGGTAGGACCATCTACTTAATAGACAATAAAATAGTCGCCGCTGTCGAGATTCTAGACGTTCGGAAAAAGGACCTCGGAGCCGTGAGATAAAACAGCTGTCTGTCAGTTGCCCTTTGGGGAAAGTCTGAGATTCTCCAAGCTTCTGGTAAGACTGCCTGCTGGATTAGAAGTGGGTGGAAACGAAGGTTGGTGGCTTAGCATGCAGGATTTTCTCTGGCCATTTGTACTTCTTTTCTGGGTTGCGATGGAGACAATGGAGAAGCAGCAACAATGGTGTGTTTCTGGGGCCCTTTGGGCCCCCTAGTGCTCGGTCAGCTCTGACTGCATCAAGGGACTGCAGTATGGTGGTACAAGAATTCTTTTTATTATGACACTTCTAAGTCACTTAAGGAAGCTAGGCTATTAAAATTAAGTCGTCAGAGAGCGCCAAGTGCGTGCTGCTCAGGGTGCACGTGCCGGAGACGTCAGCCGGACACTCTGCGGGCTCTCAAGAGACACGAGGATATCAGAACACTTCTACCCTGTGGAAAAGCTCCTTTAACAATAGATGAAATAAGCTGCAGTCGTTGGAATGAAAGTGTCCTGGATAAGTAAGAATTCTCTCATAGGAAACCTTTCAATTTCTCAATGTCAGGGAATAAGAACATGAAGGCTGTATTAAAACTCTCCCTAGTCTCGTGATGAGAATAATTTCTGGGTGGAGGGAAAAACACACAAAGACGGAAGTAAGAGGACCTGGGGCGTAAGAGGATCTGGGGCGTAAGAGGACCTGGGGCAACCCAGTCCTCTAGATGCAAAATCAAATCTACAGAGGTACACAGAAAGTTAAAGTCATGTAATACGTCTGTTCACTCACACGACTGCTCACGCCTTTGATCGATCGCCTTTTATCCCCAAAGCCACCACTTATAGAAATCAAAGCCAATTACCAGCTTCTGCTTCTGTTCCGCGCAGGGCCAACAGCTGAGCCTGGTGTCCAGAAGTGGGTGCAGGAAGCCCTTCTGAGAATACAGGCTCTCCTTTGCCAGTGCACTGGCTAGCAGGATCCTGAGCGATCTTAGCCATGTTGTTCTGAAACACATTACCTTCATAGTTCATGCCTAGTAGTCATCCTTACAACATTCTCTTTAAAATGCTATTGGAAACACAAAAAGAAAACCCAAGGCAAGATGGCCTGAACCATGGCCAAAACATCTCTGAGGCTATTATGTGACCGATGTAGCCACGAACTCCCCTCCTATGGCAGTGATTCCAGAATGCCTGACCGAGGACGGGTGGGTCAAGCATGGGACGTTCAGGAGATGGCACCTGCATCCTCACAGGACCTATTGTTTTAATGTTTTATGTGGCCAAATCAGAGGAGAGACTATATGAAATCAGAATTGTTCTTGAAAATCCACAACATTTTCACCCCAGCAGAGGTCAAATTCATCACTCATAAAATTAACAACTGTAAATATAATTTTAATTTACATGATTTTTTTTGTTTTGTTTTGTTTTTATTTTTTTAATAATTTTATTAGGGGCTCATACAACTCTTATCACAATCCATACATGCATCAATTGTGTAAAGCACATTTGTACATTCATTGCCCTCATCATTCTCAAAACATTTGCTCTCCACTTAAGCCCCTGGCATCAGGTCCTCATTTTTTCCCCTCCCTTCCCGCTCCCCCCTCCCTCATGAGCCCTTGATAATTTATAAATTATTATTTTGTCATATCTTGCCTGTCCAACGTCTCCCTTCACCCACTTTTCTGTTGTCCATCCCCCAGGGAGGAGGTCACATATAGTTCCTTGTCATCGGTTCCCTCTTTCCAACGCACTCTCCCTCTACCCTCCCAGTATCACCACTCACACCACTGGTCCTGAAGGGATCATCCGCCCTGGATTCCCTGTGTTTCCAGTTCCTATCTGTACCAGTGTACATCCTCTGGTCTAGCCAGACTTGTAAGGTAGAATTGGGATCATAATAGTTTATATGGTCCTAAAGATTTTAACATCACTCTTCATTTTATGTAAAAGGTCAGCTGACAATGAATTCCAGTGTGAAAGCGGGGACCCTTGCAAGGACGATTGCTTCACTCACAAGCGTCTGCAGACACGGTCTGCATTCCAATTGCTCACAGGCAATTGCTAACTGCCTTCAAGTTGCCGATCACCCCTGGCGAGCCCATGCACAACGGGAAAAAGAAGCTGTGATCAGTTTCACCCAGTGTTGAGAAGGGTTTTCATCGGTTGATTTTCAGAAGTAGATACTAAGGGCTTTCTTCCTAAGGCCATCTTGGTCTGGAAGCTCCACTAGCAGCTGCCAGCATCATCGCAACAGGAAAGCCTCCAGGTGGCTGGCAGGTGGCAGTGGCTACACGTGAGGTGCGTTGACGGAGAATGGAGTCCAGGTCTCCAGCACGGAAAGGCAAGAATTCCACCCATGGAATTCTATTCACTGCCCCCGTTCCAGTCAACACAGCTACTCAACGTTTGCGATTTGCCATAACTAGTTCAAAGGAACTGCATATGTGATCATGAGGAAACTATTCTATTTGATTACCTAACATGTTATATATGCTTGATTCTATAAGCCTTGATTTTAATTTTAAAAATCTGTTTAATTGTTAGGAAACCGACCTGCGATATAAAACAGAGGCAGAGGTCAGAAATGATAGAGAAAAACAAACAGGGGAGTCAAGTGGATACAGAGTGGAGGCAAAAGGAAGAATTGAAAAATGCACCAAGGCGGTCAACTTGTCTGGTTTCTGCTCAAAACTGGATAATAAAGGCCAAGATTACACTGAAGGCAGGAAAGCAAGCACCTTTTTGTCTCGATTTTGACTTCTTGGATAATAATAAGAACATAATCCTTAGCCTGTGCTCCAGCTGGTATTTCTCTTCTCTGCTACACATTACAAAATAGTACAGTCACATAGGCAAATCAATGTCCTGGAAACTATACTGTTCATTCATTGCATGCCATCTACCCTTTATACCGTGTTTAAGCCGAGTTTTCCAGCACATTTTAAATGCAGTTTTGTGGTAAAATTAGGTGCCTCGGCTGATATTCGGGTCGGCGTTTACTCAAGTATATACAGTACTTGCAAAACACCTTGATCAATTAAGTTTCAAGGGGGCTTCAAAATGTTCATAAAAAGATGGAATTGAAAGATAATGGAATGTCCGCTTAACTCTTTGAAGCTCTTTTGTGTTTAAATAATGATATGTTCTATATGTATCGAGAAACAGGGTGGGTTTTTTTTCTTTCATATTTTGAGTTCAACAAATAACTCAAAAACTCTTAGGTGCCATAAATCATATGCACACGTGACATTCGCATGTGTGGCAGTTACATAATCTCCTGACAACTTGAGCGAAGGGGTGGGAGTCTAGCCTGTCAATCAGGTCATAGCTAAGGATGCTTCTGTGTGGGCATGGCCTTCTCCTGAGGCTTCTGGGAACTCCTGTCTTCCTCCCTGGAGGCGGGACACAGATTCTCTGCTTCACCTTCCTGCTGACAAGACACATGGAGCCACGCTGATGGCAGCAAGAGCCCTGGATCTGCTTCCACCGCCACTGGATCCTCAAGACTTCCCACCCACTGGCCTGTGATCCTCCTGCATTTGGCATCATTGCATGTGTTGCATGAGTCTGAAGACTGGTATGGTCTGGTATCGGACATATGGGCTAATATTGAACTTATGGACTTGATCTGAACTGGGCTGGGATGCTTTCTTAATATACAATTACTCTTTGACATAAACCCTTCTCATACACATGAGTGTCTCTGGATTTGTTTCTCTAGTCAACCCAGACTAACACAGCATGCATGCCATCAGCACTGCAAATTTATAGTCATTTCTTTAAAATCATTGCTTCACCTCAAGGTCATGAGCTAAATCAGCTCAAAAAACAGCAGAAGGTCAAGTATTATTTCTCTGACAAATGCCAGGTCAGGCATTTCAAAGCGGCTCTGTTCTCAGGAATGGAATCTGACTCCACCCAATAAAAGCTGCAGAAGCCTAAATCGTTAGCCAAATCATGTGGTTCTCTCTCTACGGGCTGTGAGCCACGTGAGCACACACACATGATTGTACACTGCTTACACCGCTACAAGTCCAATAAAAAGACCCTGCGGTTGCGCGTACTAAAGGGAAGAGGAGGATGTTGTAATTGCTTGATTTAAAAAAAAATTTTTTTAAGCAGAGGTGGCCTGCTCCAGAAAGCCAACTTGAAACCTCAGAACACCCTTTTTCTATTATGTCTCATATTCAAACCCTGTTATGATGATTTTCATGTTTGAATGACCTACTAACTCAAAAATTAAACAAAATAACTTCGATACAGTATTAATGATCCGCAGTTGTGGTGAGAAATGGCCTTCCCGAGTTGGTCCTACACCGAATGCCACTACTGCCCAATAATGCCCTCTCTGTAAATCTAAGGTGAAAATATGCATTGGGGCAAACTGATCTTCCTGGTCCCTCCAGCTCTACAATTCCATATGGCTACATCAGCCGGGTAAGCAGGAGGTCAGATGACACCGGGCAAATCCTAGCAAAACTCAAGCAATCTGATGGGTCAGGGATTCCCTCCCTCCTCCACCCACCTCTGCCAATAATCTATGATTGCCCAAGATAAAAGAGCTAGTTACCAGTGCGACACTGGAACTAAGATATACCCGCCACCCCACCCCGCCCCCAACCACTCCCACCCCTACTTTATACGTAATCCTTCCTACGGGTACCAAATGCTCACTCCTGGCTGGAAAACCTTTAATCACAGGATCCACTGCTATTGTTAAGTGTCACTGCGTTCATTCCAACTCACAGAGACTCTGTAAGACAACAGAACTGTCCCGTTGGGTTTCCTAACCTGTAATGCTTTATGGGAGCAGATAGTCAAGTTTTTTCTCCTATAAAAGAGCTGGTGCATCTTAGTTATCCGTTTAGAGATTAACTGATCAGCCACTAGTGTTCCCTCACAGTATCTTAATGGGTCTTAAATTCTAATCTCTTAACTTTTCTATCAGACAAGCCTTCTACATCTTGGCATTTGTTGCCAGCTCTAATTCCAAGTAGGAGAACGCGCTGATCAGAGTGCCTGCGATGCCATGTGGGACCTTCCTGCATCACCAATTTCTTTCATCAGAAGGTTGCCAGAGACTCTAGTTTTAGCTGATCTTCCATATGAATCAAAAGCTGGGCTCAGAGGGTATGTATGTAAACATACCAGGAGTAAAACACAGGGAATCCAGGGCGGATGATCCCTTCAGGACCAGTGGTGTGAGTGGCGAAACAGGGAGGGTAGAGGGA